CACGGTAGCCCATGGCAACCCACCTGCCATAGCCAGCGACTCACGGCAGCCCAGCTCCAGGTTGAGCTGTTCAGCATCTTAGCTGTGGAGGACAGTGTCACTGACCCTCGTGGGATCCGAACCTGGGCCCTCTGGCATCCCAAGCCAGCTCTTAACCAACGTGCCACTCGGCCAGCCCAAGGATTGGTAGTTTTTAAAAGCTTCCAGGTGATTCTGATTTTCAGTCAGAGTTGGGTGCCAATAATGATTCCCTGTAAGCTCTAATATAAGGTAACCAAATCCAAAGCAATTTCCCCTTTTTTATGCCCATGTGGTTATTCGAGAAAATGTTTTGACAAAGTTAAGTAAGTAAACTTATAGGTATGCAGGTGAAATGGTCAAATGTCTACATATTTTAACTTGAGTATACATATTCAAAGTCATGTATGATATCTATTAATTTAGAATAACTGCTGTTTTAAACGCCACATTTCATAAAACATACTATACATTTTTGAGGTTGACCTCTTTATCCGTTTTTCAGTCAAATCGTCTTGTCTTCATTTAAGTTGAGATCCAGCACTTTTTTCATATCAGTGATTAGTCCTGGAAACCATCCACAGCCACAAGTACGGATTCACGTAATATCCAGACAGTTGTGTTTTTCATTTTTTTTTGTGTGTGGCTCTATATTTATGAACTCCATGATACATGTACTATAGTGCCTTTCAGCAGTGATCTTCAGAAGACACTCAGCATTTAATAATTATGAGGTCATACTCCCAGGAATAATGACTATCCATTAATTAATTTCCTTTGCTTCTCTTTGATTCCATCTGTTGACCTTAATGTCGGTTAAAACAAGCATTGATTGAACATGCTTGCTGTACCTGGAATTCCCTCCGTGAATGCTCCTGCCTGAGGGCCTCTGTTTTTGCTACTCCCTCTTTCCCCAATTAGCTGTATAATTTACACCTACACTTCCTTCAGATCTCTTCTTAAATGTGATCTTATCAGTGAGGCCTTCTGTGGGGTTTTTTTTTAACCCCTATACTCTTAGTCTCTTTTTCTTTTTATTCCATAGAACTTAAAACCACCATCAGCCAATAAACTAGATAATGCATTTTGCTGTGTATAATTTTGCCCAAATTTCTGAGGGAAAAATAAGGATGCATTATACGTGGATAGTACTAATTCCATAGCTATATAAATGTTTTTAATTCTCCTATATTTATGCTTATGAGTTAAAAGTGTACCGTAACTCTAGAAATCAATAACAACATCTGTAGGGCCGGCCGAGTGGTGCGATGGTTGAGAACTCGCTTGGGACGCCAGAGGGCCCCGGTTCGGATCCCACATATGAGGGCCAGTGAACTGCCCTCTACAGCTAAGATGCTGAACAACAGCTCAACCTGGAGCTGGGCTGCCATGAGTCGCCGGCGACGGCGTGGGCTGCAGTCCCTGTGGCAGTGGGTTGTCATGGGCTACCATGTGTGGCCAGCAGCCAGCGTGAGCGGCCAGCAGCCGCAGTGAGCGGCCGTCCAGAAGCCGGCGACTGATCTGCCTCGCCAGAGAAGAGCGCAATGATGGTGCCAACTTGGGCCAGTGAAGCAACATCCTCCACAACTAGATTGAAGAACAAAACGACAGCAACTTGTCTGGTCCCCTTCCCCCAATTCCCCAGCACTGTTCCCATCCCCCCAATTCCCCAATAAAAATCTTTAAAAAAAAAAAAATAAAAATAAAATAACAACATCTGTATGCAGAATAATACCCTGGAATACAATAATCGGTTTTGTTGAACTTACGACAAATTTGCAATGACGAAGGATTCTTGGCCTTCTGTGATGGGTTAACTATCGTAAATTTCTTATTGGTACATAAAATTTCTTGTACCTTGTATCTGTTCTTGTGTTTTGTAATTAATTGTTACGTAAAATTTCTTGTACCATAATATGTTAAAAAATAAATGCTAAAATTCCTTTGTAATACAAAAAAACAGGTACCTAAATGTAAACAAATAAAAATTTGAATTAAAAAATTAAAACAAGGGCGCAGCTGGATAGCTCAGTTAATAAGTGCACGAGCTCTGAACAACAGAGTTGCCAGTTCGGTTCTCATGTGGGCCATTGAGCTGTGTCCTCCACAAATAGACTGAGAACAACGGCTTGACTCGGAGGTGGGGGAGCGGAAAAAAATTAAAACGAAAGATTTTTTTCCCTGAAAGTTAGGGCCAAAAACATGGGTGCACATTTTACACTGCAAAATACTGTACTTTTTGATTGTCTGTCTGCCCCATGAGATTATAAATTCTATGAAGTCAGGGGCTTTGTTCATCCCTGTAATCCTGTTACCTAGAATGGTGCCTGGTAAATAATAGGAGCTTAGTAAATATTTATTGAATGATGAATGAATATATTTGAATGTATATTGAGCCTGTTTGTTCAAATCTTATCACCACAAAATAATTTAATGGACCCTATTCTCTCCTGATATTTTTTAAGAAAAACAGCTCCCTTAATTTGGGGCAGATATAGTAATTCAAGTCAAGTAAATCTTTTCTCCATGTAGATGTGGATTTATTAAATGTAATTAATATGTGCTTCCTACGTGGAGGATTTAATTTTCTTGTATAGTATGCCATTAAAAATAACAGTTATATGAAGGTACTAAATGTTAACTTTCATGTTGTTAGCAATCAGTAATGTTTTTCTTTTTAAAAATTTATTTGTAGATCTAACAGCTTTAATGCAGATAGAAACACAGGTAAGATTCTTATAGTTCTTTCCTTTAGTTTTTTAAATTGAAAGAGTAAGTACGTATAGTAAAAAATTAATAAGTTGAATGCTTTATTTTTATAATAAATGAGTCTGCAAAGTATGAAAAAGAGGGTGAGGCCACATTATAATAGCATCAACATTTGGTGGTCCAAGCATAAGTTCTCTTTTGAGAAGGTGCTTTTGCTATGAATAGATCAAAAAGTTTTAGCACTTTTGATTGATAAAGTTAAAAAATAAAACAAGTTTCACAGCTCAGCCTTCTAAACATATTAAATTCATCAGAGGTTTAGGTCAGGTTTCTCCACAATGAAAAGAGATTGAATAGAAGATATGAGATATTGTGTGGATTTATGTAGTTAACTAGATTTAATATAGTCTCCTTTGGGGGAAATAAGAGGGCAGTAACTGTGTTGTCTTTGCTCCTCAGCTTTCTGATATGAAGACATTTAGAAAATATGCTTGTTATCTTATGCAGCTGGAATAATTTTGTAGGGGAAAAGATACCTTAAACAAAAATCCTAGTATTTGAACTCTCCTGTAAATACAAATGTCATGTTTTTTGTTTTATTGTTATTCTACAAACCCTTGTTTCTAGATGTTTTTCCCCCTTATTTCTAGTAAACATGTATTTGCTTCTGAGCTGCCAAGAATTCTTTTTTTTTATTTTCAGATAAATTTAACTACACCTTGTGGAAAGGACAGCTTTTAAATAAAGGAAAGCTTTTGTGCTATATTTCTCTGAGGTCAGCCACTTGTGCTTTTTTGCCTATCAGACTGTAAGTATGTTACATTACAAGAAAATAGCAATGAATGATTGCTTGTTATTCAGTTTCTTATTTTGCTTTTTTTTTTCTATTATATTTAATTTTACTTTGGTCCATAAGAATTTAAATATAAATATTGGTTTATTTTTTAAAAAGATTGATTTGATAACTTTGGAAACTTAATTGGCAGAATGAGCCCTCTGCTTTTCTGTCTTGATTTGAGGATAGGCTAAAAAGTCATACACATTTATAGCATATAACTTTTTCTTAGTGAATTTAAATCTTTAAAGTGATTTTTAAAAGTTTTATCCTACTTAGATATATTTTCCATTTAGCAGTTTGAACATGATAGACTTAAAAGTTATCAGTTCTTTGTTGGAAACAGTGTTGATGTGGTGAGTTAGATTAAAATTTATAGGCTATTTTCAGTCACGTGCAACATGTTGGAATAGAAAGGCCTAAAATGATCTTTTGGTCCCACCACAGTAAACATGAGCCTTCATAAATGTTTGAAGATTATTTTAACAGTATATACTTGAATTGTCTTTAATAAAATGACAACCTTATATCCTTTGTGGTTAGTAATATTGGCATATAGAATTAGTTTCTGCCTTAAAGTTGGAAGGTTGGTAATATTGCCAGGCCATCTCTACCTGTGTATATATCCGGACTTTTAATATCAAATCATCTTTAGAATAAACTACGATATTAGTAAATATGCTGTTCTGTTTTCCAGCAAGATACTTTTGGGGGGGGTGGGGAGAGAGATAACATTGCTGGAGTTAAAAATACAGGTAAGGCAAATATGCTTTTTCAATTTTCTTTCAGTCCTGAGAAGTTAGACGTTGAAACAGTTATGAGTATTGATCATCTGAAACAGAAAATACCTCCGGCGCTGTTTCACAAGGAAGCATACTTAGGTTCAAATGAAGGTAAAGTAACTTAGTTGTTGTAAAATATATGAGAAGCAGACTTGAATGTGAATATTTACTGTGTATTTTTTCTTATGTCAGTTTTGAAGAATGGAATGTATTGCAGCCTTTATGAAGTTGTGGAAAAGCCAAGAATTGGAAATAACATGGAGAGTTTACTGCAAAAACTGGAGAAAGAAAAGCTTGTGAGTTAAATTTTAAATGTTCTTCATTCTCCCTTTAGGAACATGCATGTTAATAAGTGATCATATTAATATTTCAATTTATTTCATTTTTGCCTCTGAAAGTACCACATGGTCTCTGTCTTTGTTGCTCTCATTTAATTAACAGTGTTTTGCTATGGCCTTTGGTATTCTACTGTTTAGCCTTGACCTTCTAACAGACAGACTTCAATAAAGTATCTTTGTTGTATATTGTGATTATGACTGTGATATTAAAAAAATATTTATTGAATATTTTTTAATGCAAGGTATATAGTTCAGTAAAGAATGAGACAAAGAGACTCTGTTCTTAACTACACAGAGTGATAAATGGAGTTACTCAGATAGATGTGGTTTGTTCCTGTAGAGACAGCGCCATATTTGAAGATTAAAAATGGTGCTTTGTGAGGTTGAAGGAATAAAAGAACACTATAGTAGTTGAGGGGAAAGTGGTAGAACGTGAGGATGGGAAAGTGTGTACGAGGATGTCCTGCAGCATGTGAAATAGCATCTTATTGTGATTTTAGCTTATATTTTCCTGAAATATGATGAGTTGATCATCCTTTCGTAAATTTGTATTTTTTAATGTTCATTTGCCTCTTTTTCCTTTGAGTGGCTTATGTTTTCTTATAATTTGAAGAGTTTTGTATGTTTGGGATACTAATACTCAGCTATGTGTACTACAGTGTTTTTTACTTGCACTTGCCTTTTTAATTTGTTCATGGTGGGGTTTTTTTGTTTTTTTTTTTAAAGATTTTTATTGGGGAATTGGGGGGATGGGAACAGTGCTGGGGAATTGGGGGAAGGGGAACAGACAAGTTGCTGTCCTTTGTTCTTCAGTCTAGTTGTGCAGGACGTCGCTTCACTGGCTCAAGTTGGCACCATCATTGCACTCTTCCCGGGCAAGGCAGATCAGTCGCCAGCTTCTGGATGGCCGCTCACGGGGGCTTGAGGGCCGCTCATGCTGGCTGCTGGCTACACCTGGTGGCCTATGGCAACCCACTGCCACAGGGGCTGCAGCCTACGCCGTCACCGGCGACTCATGGCAACCCAGCTCCAGGTTGAGCTGTTGTTCAGCATCTTAGCTGTAGAGGGCAGTGTCACTGGCCCTCATATGTGGGATCCGAACCGGGGCCCTCTGGCGTCCCAAGCCAGTTCTTAACCATCACGCCACTCAGCTGGCCCGTTCATGGTGTTTTTTGAAGAACAAGTGTTCTTAACTTTAATGCAGTTGAATTTATCTGCCTGATTATTAGCACTTGTTAAGAAATCTTTTCTTACCCAAATATTGCCCTGTATTTTCAGTGTGTCAGCATTTTGCCTTTGGGACTAAGTCTTTAAACATATATATAGGTGGTTTTTTTTGTTTGTTTGTTTTTTCCCTGTTATATAGGAATCTAACTTTATTTTTTCCCCAATATGAAAATTAAGTTGTTCCTGCATCATTTACTGACTAGTCCATCCTTTCTGCACTAAGAAGTCTTGATATCTGGTAGGGTAAATTGCCCCACTTTATTCAGCTTTTTTAGGAGTGTTTTGCTATTTGAGATTCAGCTTTTTTTGTTTTCTTTTCAAAAAACTTTAGAATCAGCTTTTATGTCCCTGGTCCCCCCCCCCCAAATACATACACACACACACACACACACTTTATTGGGATTTCTTGGAACTGTATTAAATCTGTACATCAAATTTGAGAGAACTAACGTCTTTATGATACTGTCTTAATCATGACCCTTATTTCTTTAGGGTATTCTTTTAATAGCATGTTATAATTTTCTGGATACATGTCTTGCTTATTTTTTGTTAGATTTATGTATACACAGGCATCTTATATTTTTTGATGCTATTGTAACAGTATTTTTCATTCCAGTACATTTTCTGTTGTGTATATAGAAATGTAATTGATATTTACATATTGGTTTTATGTTAGATCCATATATGAAATTTGTTTATTTTGAACATTCTTTGGGATTGGTACATAGATTTCATTATCTTGGAACAACATTATTTTGGTTTTTACTCTCTGATCTTCATGCTTTTATTATTATTTTTTCTTTTGTAATTGTGCAATCTAGGATCTGTAGTACAATGTTGAATAAAAGTGATTGTAGACATTCTTCTTGATTTTTCAAAACAACATGTCTGACATTAACCATCAAGCAGTAGGTTTTTCATAGATACCTTATCAGTTTAAAATTTTTTCTTTTTTTTTTAACCATGAGTGGGTTTTGAATTTAATGCTTCCCTTTTGCATTTATCAAGATAGTTCCGTAGTGTATTAGGGTTTTCCAGAGAAACTATATATATGGGGGAGATTTTTTATAAAGAATTGGCTCATATAATAACTTTATTATAAAGTAATAGAGACTGGAAAGTCCCAAGATTTGCAGTTGGCAAGCTAGAGACCAAGGAGAGCTTATAATAGTTTCAATCTGAGTCCAAGTGTCTGAGATCCAGGAGAGCTGATGTTTCAGTTTGAGTCCATAGGCTTGGAAAGTGGAGGGGTTGGGGATTGGGGAGAGGGGCAAGGGTGATGTCCCAGCTCAAAGGCAAGCAGGATGAATTGCCCATTACTCCAGGACCTTCAGCTAATTAGATGAGATTCACCCACATTGGGGAAGGCAGTCTGATTTACTCATTATGTATGTATTCACTTATGTATGTTAAACACATCCAGAAACACCCAGAGTAAAGTTTGACCAAATATCTGGATACCCTGTGGCCCAGTCAATTTGACACATAAAAGTAACCATCACACACAGTATGTATCCTATAAACTTAATAAGATGAATTATGTTTATTTTTTTCCAGTATTAAATTATCCTTGTGTTGCTGGTTTAGAATACTCCCACCTCTTTAAAAAATAAAAATAAATGGTTTGGTCTCTGAATGGTTTGTTTAAGAATTTTGTATCTGTGATGATGAGTGAGACTGACCTGCAACTTTTTTCTTATATCGTCCTTGTCTACTTTTTGTATCAGTGTTATTAGGTAGTCTTAATTAAGAATTAAATAAGGTAGTCTTTCCTCATTTTGCAGTGGTTGGATGTATATAGGATTAGGACAATCTATTGTTTGGATGTTAGATAGTACTTAACTGCAAAACTATGCCTTTTGTTTATGGATGATTTTTAAAGTACTCAATTTCTTGTAGCTTGGTTCATTTGAATATATTATGATTTTGTTTTCGGGGAACGTGTCCATTCTCTGTTTTTTGATTTATTGGGATAGAATTATTTATATAGTCTCTTTTTAATAGCTGCTCTGAGCATTTTTACATGATATTTTCATTATGCTTTCTCTTGTTAGCCACTAGAGGTTTGTCTATTTTATTAGCCTTAAGAACCAAATTTTGGTTGTATATTTGCTTAACTGGTTTTTTGTTTTTGTTTTTGTTTTTGTTTTTGGCCTGAGCCATCCTGCCACCTGTTGGCAGCTAGTGGCAGCTCGGCTCTGGCCCATGTGGGAATTGAACCAGCGACCCTGTTGCTCAGAGTTCGCATTCTTGAGCGAGCTTTTAACCAACTGAGCCACTCAGCTAGCCCTGTTTTACCGTTTTGTTAATGTCAACTCTTAGTTTTAGTAACTTTTGCTTTTTGGGGCTTTATTTCAGAATTTTTAAATTGAAAAGGTGGTCAATGAATTTTGAGAGTTCCAAGTATTGCTTTAGTTGATTTCCAAATGTTTTAATACATAGTATTTTCATTATCATTCAGTTATAAGTATTTTTAGTTTCTGTAAGGTTTTCTGCTTTACACATGATAGAGAGGTATGTTTTTAAATTTCCAAATTATGAGAATACTTTTGTCTTTTTGTTTTTCATAATTTCATTGTAATCAGAACAGGTGGTGATAATTTGAAGTTATTGAGACTTGATTTAAAACCTACTTTGTGGTCAAGTTTTGTACATGCCCCCTTTGTATTTGAGAAAAAGCATATTCTTGAAATGTTGGAACCTGGGTACACAATCCTGGATTGACAACTATTTTCACTTAGCACTCTGATTATACTATAGTATCGTCTGTCTTTTATTTTCGTTGAGAGGTCAGCTCTTAGTCCAATTACTGTTCCTTTCTTTGTAGATCCTCTTTTTTTGTTTTCCTGGTTGCTTGTTTAAACTTTGGTGTTTTGCAGTTACATTAAATATATCTAGGTATAGATTTCTTATTTATGTAGCTTGGCATATATTCTCCTTTCATATCTGTGGACTGTATCTTCATTTCCAGAATATTAGTCATTGTCTCTCTGATTGTACTTCATTTATTTTATTTTATTTTATTTTATTATTTTTATTTTTATTTTTTTAGCTGAGCCATCCTGCCACCTGTTGGCAGCTCAGCGGCTGCTCAGCTCGGGCTGACTCGAACCGCTGTTGCTCAGAGCTCAAACTCTTGAGCGAGCTCTTAACCAACTGAGCCACTCAGCCGGCCCTTGTACTTCATTTATTTTAGACTGTCTAAGATTGAACCATCATATGTCAGACCTTTTCATTCTGTTCTTTATGTCTGTTAACTTCTCCTGTGTTTTCTATCTACTTGTTTCTCTGTGCTGCATTCTGAGTAATTTCATCATAGCTATCTTCTAGTTTACAAATTCTGTGTCTAGTGATGTTTAATGTGCTGTTTAATCCATTCATTGAGTTTTAATTTCACAGAGAATATTTTTTATTTCTAAAAGTTATATTTGATTTTTGAGATCTGCCTTGTCATTTTTTAAAACTGATTCTTGTTCATTCTTTCAGAAATAGTTACTGAGTATCTATTATGTTCCAGACACTGTTCTAGGAGGTAGAAGTTATCTTCTGGTATTTCTTACTATTATTTTCATCATTTTAACCATTTTAAAGTATACAATTCAGTAATTTTTAGTAGATTCACAATGTTGTGCAACCATTACCACTATCTAATTCCACAGTATTTTCATTACCCCAGAAAGAAACCTCATATTCATTAAGCATTTACTCAGCACTCCTTACTCCAGTCCTTGGCAACCACTAATCTACTTTTGTCTTTATGGATTTATCTATTCTGAACATCTCATATGAGTGAAATCATGCATTATGAGGCCTTTAATGCCTGGCTGCTTCCTCTTAGCCTAATAGTTTTAAAGGTCATTCATGTTGTAGCATGTATAAGTACTTCATTCCTTTTTATGGCTGAATAATATTTCATTGTATGGATAATCCCACGTTTTGTCCATTCATCAGTTTCCACCCTGGCTATTATGAATATTGCTGCTACGAACATTTGTATAATAATTTTTGTGTGAACTTTTTCTATTCTGCCAGTTATTTTCTTTATTTCTTTAAACATTCATTTCATACCTGTTGTTTTATATATTGCATCTGATTTCAGTTTGAAGCTCTTGGGTGTTTGAATCTGTTCTTTCTGCTGAATCTTAGGGTAGCTTATTTCCTTTTAAGCTTGATCATTTAAGATTGTGAGCTTAATATTTTATATTTTTAATGTATTTCTTGTACTGTAATGATTTCCTGTGATGTGTTATTGAAAAGTCAAAATAATAGAATCACATAATAAAAATCCACAGACTGGGTTAATACTGTTTTCTGAGAGGGACGGAAACAGTAAGGTGTAATAAATATAGGAAGCAGGAGCACAGGTGTTTCCTTTTCTAGAGGGCTAAAACTGTTTCTTTGAGCTAAAGCAATGTATATTACTGCTAAGGCCTCTGTCTGCCTGAGTATTGTTTCTGGGTGTTGATTCCCTAAGAAATGAGGCTTCTTAGAGAACAGTGGTCTTTATAAAATCCACTGAGCCAGTGGGATTTTAGAAACCCTGGTATTTGGAGTGGGTGAGAATTTAAAAGAATCTACTTGTTTTTCCTCAGTGACCACAAAACATGAACATCTTATTTGTGCTTCCCAACTTCCTGTTCTGACGACCAGGAGTTGGTCAAAATGTTAAAAGGGATATGATACATAAAACATTTTGGATAAAAGTATTTGAGTCTGAAACAAAAATTTTCAGGTATATTGTCCACCTTACTTTTGAGTGTTCAAACAGTGTTTGTATTAAATGTAAATTGGTAGCACAGTCACGTTTTGGCCTTTAAATTATGGGTTTTTACATAGACTGTTTATTGGAGTTGTTTAATAGGTATTTAAGTAGCATAAGTTTTCTTTCAGAACCCAGATAGTCTTTTGTGTTCAACTGCCATGCTTAGTTCTTCCTTGATTTACCCTTTCTTTAATCCAAAGGGGAAAAAAAAGATACTGTTAACTGTTTCAGTAGCCCCTGAACTGAGTTTGAGTTCTTCACATTACATTGTGTCTTCCCCTTCTTCACAGTGCCGTCAACAGTTTTTTTTCTTTTTTTTTGGGTGTACATTTCCAATTCAAAAGGGTATACTCTCCAGGGCATTGCTGGCTAACCTGGAATTGTTGTCTTTTTGTATTCTAGACTAAGATCTTTCTTTCTAGACTTGTCTTATACCTTTGTCCTAATCTGTCCTTTTGCCAGTCTTAACTATTGTGATGGATTTGCAGACTGTCCATCATATTGTAACTCTGCCTTTGCTCTATTGAAATGTCCTTCCCACAATCTCAAGCTCTTGGCAATGTACCAATCCTTCAAAATCCGCCTCCAATACACTTGCAGTATCTTTTCTCTGACCATACGCAAACTGCATATTTTCCCCCTTCGTATTGCTTTGTAAGTCTTTTTAGAATTTTTCTGTCTTATCTAGTTATTGATATTTCCTGTGTAACTAACTCTGTCCACCCAATATAAACACCTTGAGATCAAAGATCTTGTGTTGCTTGTCTTGGCAGCTGTCTCTGGCAAGGCAGATTGCCTTATGTGTGAAAGGTGTTCATTAAATATGCAAATAATTAGATTATAGCTACACATTTCATTTGAGATTAGCCTAAACTCTTAAAGGCAGCATTTGTGTCATACTTGTTTTATATTTCCAACATCCAGCACGTTGTCTTCGCAATTCATGTGTCTTTTGAATTGCTGAGGAAAATATTTGAAATCTTTAGTTTGGTCCTTGTGTTTTAGCTTCAAGGAAACATCAACAACTTGGTTTCACAGCTAATTAGGGGAATTTTCTCTTTATAAAGTTATGAAAACTAAGCAGTTTTTTATTTGATTAGAATTCTCTTAATCAGCAGAGTTGGAAAGAGTTTCAATTAATTCAGTAGCAATATTTTCCCTAAAGATGATCAAGAACTTTGTTTTCTTTATAATTAGTAGAAACTGCTGTGTCTGCCTTAAGGTCAGTAATATTAAAGCAGATTCAACTTCTCTGTTCCAAAAATGCAGGTACTTGTTAAACCTTTGGGAGACCGAGGATACCTTTTTCTTCTCTCACCTTATCAAATGGCTTCTCCATATGGTAGGCAAGCTCTTTAGTTTTTATAATTCTTTTTAAACTTTTTAGATAAAACATTGCTAATGAATTTGGCTTCTTTTTTTTTTTAGACCATCAAACTGTCAAGCCTCGAGTCCTACATGCTTTGTTTCTATTTCCAGAACCTAGAAGCATAGTTCATTGTAAGTTCTTTGAATATCTAAATCCAGTTACTTATAGATAACCTACATTTTATTGAAAATTTCCAGATAAACTCACTAAACATTTTGTCTTTCTTACATCATGTTTTGGGAAATACTGGAGGTATTAAAAGGTGTCAACGATATAAAACACAAGTTATATAACTTGATTGTTTTGGGGGTTTTTTTTACTATAAAAAATTTAGGTTTTAATCAGTGTTTTCACTAAATCATTGTTGGTTGTAATTGTTACATTACTGTAGCTTCACTGTTCAGAGTTTTATATTATATTTTTTAGCTTGGTTCATATTTGCATTCAAATTTTAGCAATTATAAAAGTATCATGTGCTAGGTTAAATATTAGGCCATTCAAAATTAGTATGAATTTTGCACAATGATGTTAGAGAAAATTTGCTATTCACCATTTCTAAAAACTAACTGTAATACTATATTAAGATAAAGTTCCCACAAATGGGTTTCATTGTTAAATTGAGATTCTTAATGGTAGACACTCAGTGCCTACATATGTCTCTTTATGGGGATAGAGAGTTCATGTGAATTTAAAGTTAAGTTTTAACAGGAAGGAGTGACATTACTATCATTTGCAGGATTGTCTTACTAGGAGCCTCAGATCTTGCCCTGCTTCTTTATTTCTCCTTACATTTTGCTTTCCGCAAGTTGAAAGGCCTAGGGACAATAGGAAATGAAGATCTTTAATGAGTGGGTATTTTTCCCTTTAAAAATATGTTCTGTAATTTCTTTTGTTTTAGTTTCTTATGGGCTCATTTTAGGCCCTTGGACTTAGAAGCATGCTATTCATATATTTCTATATTACATATATGTATTAGGATACATACTAATTTGGTTCACCATTAATGTATGAATGTTGTTAAATTTCTTTGACAATATATAGATTTGTATTTCATTAGTTTCTTGATTGCTAACATGGTTTACTCTTTTTCTTTTGTTTACAGCACAAAAAGGGTCAACCAATGCAGCACCACAGGAGAGACATGAAAACATGCCAGATGTATTAAAAATAACTCAGTTTTTACAATTTGCTTTGATTCGGTGTCGAAAGGAATTCAAAAGTATAAATACTATAAATTTTCATTCTGTTGTTGAAAAGTATGTAAATGAATTTTTTAAGCGAGGTTTTGGTTCAGGTAAACGAGAGTTTATTATGTTTCCATATGCTTCACGATTAGATGATAAAAAATTCTTATACCCAGCTCCAAAAAATAAATCCCATATTGATGATTGTTTGCATAGCTATATTTTTCAACCTGAAATGTATCAGTTATCTATTTGTAAATTAAAAGAGCTGTTTGAAGACAATAGAAAACTTCAACATTTTAGTCAGTTTTCAGATTATGAAGGCCAAGAAGAAATGAATGGTACAAAAAGGAAATTTGGAAAACGAAATAACTCAAGGTGTGACACTATTAAACCTGGAAAGCAGAAGTCATCTCACTCTTTGGATTATGATAAGGATAGAGTCAAAGAATTGATTGATTTAATTCAGTGTAGGAAAAAAAATGTGGGTGGGGACTCAGAAACAGAAGATATGAGAAGCAAAACTGTCTTGAAGAGGAAGCTTGAAGATCTACCTGAAAATATGAGAAAACTCGCCAAAACCACTAATTTATCTGAAAATTTCCATCTATATGAAGGTAAAATATTAGATTGCTCTTACATAGTATAAAAATAACAACCAAAAATATAGTAAAGTAGTTCTGTCCTTCTGGTATGGGGGTATGCAGATTACAACCTGAAAGTCAATCCAGCCTGTTCCCTGTTTTTGTAAAGAAAGTTGTATTGGAATACAGCCATGCCTGTTGATTTATGTGTGTATATAGCTGCTTTCACACTGTAGTGTCAGAGTTGGGAAAGAGACCCTAAGGCCCACAAAGCCCAAAATATCTGGTCCTTTATAGAAAATATTTGCCAACTCCTGCCCTAGCACATCAGATTTCTGAATTGTGTAGCTTAGGCTAATGTGAGAAAATAAAGTATGCTCAGCTTTTATCCTACTAATTAAACCTCTTATCCTTTTATATTCCTTTAATTTTATAATTGAAAAAGTACAACGTAGAATATTGCAGGGGTTTTTTAGTATGTTACTTAATGAAAGGAACCTTCTGAGCTTTAAAATAAAATTTCTTAGATGTGTACACATACTTTTTCCCCCTTAGGAGTCAAGTAATATGTTTGGCTTTTTCTTTTTTTCTATTTGTCTTTGCTTTTTTGTTTTAGTTGAAGAAAAATGGGAGACCCACCTCCCTTAAGTGTGTTTCAATATTGCAAATAATTTAAACCATTTTTTTCATATAGATTTTTAAGATCTTTACATTGCTAATCCATAAGCATGAAATATATTCCTTTGCATTCAGGGACATTTGATATAACAATCTACATTTTGTGCCACTTCTATTCTTATTGACTATGGCAGATCATAAATAACAACATGTGGCTAGTGGCTGCCATATTGGATAGTGCAGGCAGTTTAAATTAATTAAAATGAAATAAAAATTGATTTACCGTGTTATACCAACCACTGTATTGAATGGCACAGATAGAGAACATTTGTATTAATATCATTGCAGAAAGTATTATTTGAAAGTGCTGTTCTTTTCAATAACTTTCAGTGTTTTTGCTTTCCAACGTTTTCATTCTTGTGTGTGTTCTTAATCTCCTGGGTGGCCTTGCTGGCTTCTGTCACTCATTTCAGTATCACTTTGCTTTTTTGCTACCAATCTCAGCTTCTGTATTCAACTTTCAAGGCTTTGTTATAGGCCACTTCCAGCCTAGGTAGCCATGTTTCTCACTCTTTTTTCACATGCTCCTTGGTTAAGAATCATGTCTATTTCAGAATATGTCATGAATTTCCCTTTAGTTCTCTTTCTTTTTTCTTGAAGCATCAAACCTATCTTTGCAGCTCAGATCCGTCCTTAGCTTTCTGGCTGTTCTACTCGATGGTTTTCATCTCCTTTAGCTTATGCTGAATTTCTGCTCTGTGCTGAACCTGTTGACACTTATTGATCCATACTGTCTTATATATACTGTTGACATGTGTCTTGAGAGTTAAGTACTTACTATGTGCTAGGTCCTTTACATACTGGGGCTGCCAGAAAATATGTATACAAGAGGACACTTTGGTCAGCATTGCTCAAGCAGTAGTTCACTGTAATCAGAAGTGTCTGGATGCTGATGGTAACCACATTGAGCACCTCTTGTAATTGCAGAAGTCAAATGTGACTTGTATTCATCTTTTGTTATCGGTATATATTGAGTATTACAATTTTAATAGTTTTTTCCTTTTTTAAAATGTGTATACATTTTTTTGGCACCCTCTGTATATGGACTCATTTAATTCTTGTGTGCTAGACATTATCCTTATTTTACAGATGAGAAAATTATCTCAGAAGTTAAATAACTTTAGTTAAAGTTATGTAGTTCATCCATGTTTGAACTCAGTTCTGACTGATTCCAAAGCATTATTCTTAAACTTTGCTGTATTTCCTAACACTGAGCACATGATAGGCAAGAGACTTAAATTTTGGTGCCATTTTAGCTGACAATTAGACTAATTTTATACATGTGAAAAAATATCTGTGGGTAAAAATCAGCCTTTATCAATAATTAAAGTGATGGGAAAGCCATTCTAATTATAATAGAACAAAGGAGAAATGGGGTAGGGGAGAAGGGGTCCATAGGTTAAACTAGAACTAGTGATGATCGGATTTCCAATGTTCCTCACTTGTGTTTCTAGTAATTTTGCACACTTTATTTCTGATTTCTAAAAGTAGAGATTTGAAGGTTGGATTCTAACTTCTAAAATACCCTGATCTTGATTTGGCGGTAAACCTACTCATTTTATGACGTTACTTCCTATGCCCCCTAACCCCTTTAACATTTTTTGAGATATGATTTATATACAGTGTACCCATTTTAAGTGCAGCCTGATGAGTTTTGATGGCTATGTTACCACCACTCCAATATATAGAACATTTTTATTACTCCCAGAAATTGCCTTGTGTTCCTTTGTAGTTAATCTCACCCCACTACTGATGTGCTTTCTGTCTAGGTTAGTTTTGTCTGCTCTATAATTACATGCAATTAGAATCATACAGTATGTACTCTGTTGTTTTTTTGTTTTTTGCTGTGGACCATTATATCCTATCTAAATTGGAAATCCTGACTTGACCCACCTTCGGTATTAAAGCACAGGACTTTATGACTGTCTACTCCCTTGCAAATTTTAAAACATATTATTGTGCAGGTTACCCAGATTTATACCTACTTGGAGCCATGTCTTAATATGTTTTCTCTTATAGTGCTTTCTGTTCTTAATGCAAGTTTAGTGTAGATTTCCTCAGGATGATTTTATTATCTCTAAAATACAAGCTTTGTTATGAATTTAAGTAATCTAGTCATTTAAGGCTTAGATAATAAGAATTTCAGCATCTTAAGGACTAAATGTAAAAGGAGATAGAAATCAAATTAACCCTCCGTCGGGTGCAACTGATCTCACAGATTCATTGCACACAACAGTGCCACTATGAAATATGTCTTTACTAAGTCACAAACATGACTGACGATAGGTTAGGGTAGAGAGGGAAGATACGGAAGCGATGAGTCATGATACTTAACTGTTAGATATTTGAAAATTTGTGTGCAATGAATCTGTGAGATCAGTTGCACCAGATGAAGGGTTAAGTCATTCGTTTTTGTTTTTAGTAGATTTTATTGTAGTCTGCAGATCCTCCTAACATTTTGCAAAATAGCACGTGTAGATATTTTTATCTATTGTCAAGTACTTGGTTGACTTTGGTATTTTGGTGGTAAATTTTAAGGTAACTATGTATGGTTATTAATATTTTATATATATACATATATATATATGTGTATATATATATATATATATATATATATATATCCCATGTCGGTATCCAATATATATATTATCAACTTGATGTTTGAGCTCATTTCTCCATTAATAGATTTTTCAAATTATGTAAGTTTCATTTAATAGGAATTTTGACTTATGTGCAAAATTTTAGAATCAGTCATATTTGTAAAGTAAGGGTTGGATGTACTTGTAAAATATAAGCCTGTGGTTTTATTGAGTTTCTGCCCATAAATACCTTATAATTAATGGTTAGGTATATTTTATTTTTGTGCTCGCCTTCCAAAGTTAACTTTAAGGGATGAGTTTTCTTTCTCTTTTCCCTTCAGAGTCTCCACAACCTGCTGGCTCACTTGGGCATGATGCTGACTTGAGACAGCAGCAGCAGGATTCCTCTGATGTTGCTGACATCCGTAGGCTGTTCAATTGGCTGTCAGAAACACTAGCAAATGTGCGCCATCCTGATGTATCTCTGACAGACACAGTCAACAAAGCCTTAGGATTGAGCACTGATGATGCCTATGAAGAGCTGAGGCAAAAGCATGAATATGAGTTGAATTCTAACCTGGATAAGAAAGACTATGAGCAGCCTACTTGTGTAAAAATTGAAAATGCACATTGTAAGGGTACTCAAAGCCCATTGCTAGAAGCTGATACATCATCTTTAAAGTATCCTGTTGCTATTTCTACCAGTGAAGTAAGCACTGACCATAAACTACATTTGAAAGAAGTAAGCATGTCTTTTGATTATCTTGTTTGCTTTGGGGATGTATGTGTGAAAGAGAGACTGTGGGTATGCATCAATGAGTTCTTTTCCCTTTCAAAAAGAAATAAAATACAGGGTCGGCCGAGTGGCTCAGTTGGTTGAGTTGGCTTAAGAGCATGAGCTCTGAGCAACAGGGCCGCCAGTTAGATTCCCACATGGGCCAGTGACGCTGCGCCTGAGCTGAGCTGCCAACAGGTGGCAGGAGGCTCAGCTGGTGAGAGCACGCACTCCTAACAACAAGACTGCCTGTTCGATGGTGGGCTGCACCTGCCCACAACTAAGACTGAACTCGGCACCTTGAGCTGAGCTGCCGCCTGGATGGTTCAGTAGATAGAGCGTGTGCTGTTAACAAGGCTGCTGGTTCGACTCCCACCTGGTATGGTGGCTACACCCACTCGCAACTAAGATTGTAACACAGCACCTTGAGTTTAAGAGGCCACGAGCTGCTGATGGACAACCAGATGGTGACTGGCGCCCTCCACAACTAAGATTGAAGAACAACTTGGCTGGTCCCCTTCCCCAATTAAAAATAAAAGAAGAAAAAAGAAATAAAATACACATTTCTATAAAAGTGTCTGTCCAGGATAGTATTTCTAAGTTATTCCTTGTTACAAAGAGGCAAGTACAGAATTAGTTGTTGTCCTTCCTGCTTATAGACTTACATGTAGTCTAAGATTTACCTATTGTCATGAAGTTAAGGCTGGACAGTCTATTTGTCAGAAATGGCTATTGGGAGTTAATTCCATATCGTTTCATAATAAAATTGAATTCTCAAAACATTGACTTTCTGCTAGCGGTACTAGAACCTCAAGGTGAAGCAGATGAGGTGACTAATGTCAGTGTACCAGTGTTACAAACAAGGTTAGGTACTTTGTATTTTTTATGCAGACAGGAGTGGAAAACTGGCCTCTAGGATTACCTCTGAAGTGACACTCAGCCTTGCTTGACAGGACATCTAGTTTATGATATGTGCTTAGAATACTACTGATCTCTAGCTGGGAAGTAGCCTTATCTTCTCCCAAGAAGTAGGTGTATCACTGGGGAACAATACCTGACTGGCACCGTATTCCTAAGGACTTATTTCTAACTTACTCTTTTCTTAATTTTTTTCTTCCCCTCTGAATGAAAATCATATGGATATCCCTAGACTTTGTCCATGTAGTTTTGGGATATTTGTTTTAGGGGGAGTATGATGGCAGGAATCTCACTTGGGGAGGTGTATAAATTAGGCACTGAGAAACCTATGTTGTTAACATTTCCTAATGTATTTAATACTCTAAATTGGGTTAATGCTGGCATAGGCCAAATCCAGCCCATTGCCTATTTTTATAACTAAAGTTTTATTGGAACACAGCCATGCCCATTTGCTTAGATATTGCCTATGGCTGCTTTTGCACTACAGTGGCAGAGCTGACTATCTGAGTATATGGTCCACAAAGCATAAAATATTTGGCGCTTTACAGAAAAAATTTATGAACCTCTGCTCTAAATCAACATCAAATTATGTTTTGAAGGAAAAAAATATGTTTTTATTTGAGGCTAGAGTATTATAACTTTACCCTATTGATTTGACTAATTTATAATATTTAGGTTAAAGGTGAATTTGCTGTGAAAAAATAGTTGTTTATTCTTGATATTAAAATTAATTGAAAAGAAAGCTATTTATTTGTACTCTAATTTTTAGGATCCAGATTTAATTAGCACGAATAATTTTGAAGATTGCAGTTTGTGCCCCACTGTTCCCGTTGAACATGGATTCCGTAGACAATCCAAGTCAAATGATGTTGAAGAAACTGAAATACATTGGAAACTGATTCCAATTACAGGTAAGAACAAGTGTACTGGGAATTTAGTTTGCTTGGTTTTACTTAGGAACCAGGTTCCTGAAGGGTTTCTTTCATCTTTCTAGATTTCATTCTTGAGTCACTAGGTTCTGTTGTACTTGGCTCTGACATCTTCAGTGTCTTATTTTGAGCAAAGCAGTGTTCATCATTGAATGTTGCTGTTATTGGTCAGCATCAGCAAGTATCTGCAAAAAAGCCTATTTAAAAATAGAGATTTTAAAGGGCTGGCCGAGTGGCTCAGTTGGTTAAGAGCTCGCTCAAGAGTTTGAGCTCTGAGCAACAGCGGTTCGAGTCCAGCCCGAGCTGAGTTGCCCAAACAGGTGGGGGGATGGCTCATAAAAAAAAAAAAGAGAGAGAGAGATTTAAAACACTTATTCTCCCTATGGCGTTTACCATGCAAACTTCCAAATGATAATTGTTGGCAGAAATTGAGTTTCTAATAAGGTGAGGTAGCTGTGGAGATGAAATGATGGTTTTGGGGCAGCCAATAAATGCTATTTTTTCAAATTATTATAATAAGCTTCACTATAACAAGCTGTCATCAAAGAAGTGATCATGTTGAGGTCCATCTATTTGAAAGAAATTTTCTTTCTTAATATTGGATTATCTTAGAGGAATTGGATGATTGTGGAGAATGTCCTGAAATGATCAAATGCAAATATCCTAGAAAGCTGATTGAACCATGTTTAGCAAATGTTGAAAGATTTTACAGTATTCTAATTTGTCTGTGCAAACACATATACACACATATACATACATACTCTTAATATTAGTCTTTGTTAGCCAGCATTTTTGGAAATATTTTCAGGACACTTTTTTCCATTCCTTGACCTATTTAACCTTTAAAAAGAAAAAAAGAACTTTTTGCTAAATGTAGATTGGTTTGTGACCTAGAAGATATTGAGACCTCTGAGGACTATGAGAAGAATTTCTAAAACTTTGACAAATTTCCATGGGCTTCAGCACCATTCTCTACTTAGTACCTTACCAGACAGGGCAAGAGGCCTAGATGTGATGTCAGAGAGGCAGCTGATTTTTGCTTAGGAGCTGGAGATGTCCGCTTGAGTGAAACAGAATAAGGATGCAGTGTGTACAAGACGATTATCCCAACCATCCCTCATTTAGACACTCCCATAATTGATGTTCAGAACCATTTGAAAGCACAACATCTAGGTATTGATATTTCATTGTCTCCTGAATGCAAAGGAAAGCTTCCCATTTCTGAATGACCCTTCAGGATTATTTTAGGCAAAAGAAGGAATACCTGGATTTGTTAGCATTTGGTTGTCTGAAAGGTGCTTAATAGGTATCACCAATATCTGAGAGTACAAATCTAATGGATGCTTTCCCTCAGGAGGGAATGCAAGAAGCCCAGAAGACCAGCTGGGGAAACATGGGGAGAAACAAACACCAGGTGAGAAGGCTCACTTTGCTTTTCCTCCCAGTGGCCCTTCAGAATTGCTGCCTGCAGTTCTGGTCTTCCATTAATAGGGCATCAGTTTAAGTTCTGCTGATTACAGAAAATTTGGACAATATCATGTTTGTATTTAAATTATTAATTGATTTGTATCAAATATTCTTTTACAAAGAAAGTTCCAAAGCAGTCACTATGTATTCATAGAGATTAAGTTTTCTAAACCCACAGTAAATTGTATCAGACCAGGATATTTTTCTTAATCCATTTTTGCAGGATATTCTGTGAGTAGCTGTCTTCTAGTTTCTTTTAAACTTAAAAAATAAGAAGAGGTGAGGTAATTTATCTTTTAGGCACATTATTCCTAATCTTGAATTTTATTACCCAATTCTTCTAATTATAAAGCTAATTTCTGCTGATAATTTAAATTGGAGATTAGGAAACTCTCAGATTCCAAAAACATTTATAGATAGTAATGATTAGCCTGTTGCAGTGGATGCCTAAAAGAGAGTCTTTTATCTGAGCTCAATCAATTCAACATCCCTGCATGGTCATAGGCATTGATTTCTTGCTTAGAGTTTGGTGGTGGGTCTCTTTTATTTGTTCCCATTTTCTTGATCTTAAAATCTTAGGTGTTTTATGTTTTTTGGGTTGTTTTTTTTTGGAAGGAAAACTAAATGACTTTTTAATTTTAGTGGTCTTTGCAGTTGGTTATTCCTCTTTTGGTAGTTGTAAAAAAGACTTTTAGTTAACAGTTTTCTTGAAGAAAATATATATCCTAGAAAAAGATGATTTAAAAATAAAAAAAACAGAACCATGGACATGTGATGGATATAAAAGTGCACGTAAACGTCAAAATTCTGCAATGCTTGAATGACAATAACTAGAAAACATGCACTTTTATGGATATTGACATGTATTTCTTTTAACTCATTTATTGATGAAGACATTTTGAAAATAATAAAATTGTCAATCTACTAATTAAATTTGTATAGGGGAAATTTGTGGAAGATAAAATTAGGTGGTGATCATTTGCATTTTAAAAATGAATTTGGTTTAGAGTTTTTTAATATGGCGAATTCCTCACATGAATTGAAGTTATATTTCATCTTTAAAAATTCCCTTTATCCATAGCCCTTCAGGAATAAGATTATTATCTGAACTATAAGTATAAATTTGGGGAACAAGTATTTCATTTAAAATAATAAGTGACTCAGTTGTTAAAATATAGGTGGTCCTCCAACCCATTTGTTTTACGAGATAAATATTTTTTATTTAAAAAAATCAGACATTTGACATGGTACATAATGCAAGAAGTACAAAAATACTTCAAAAAGTAAGTCTTCCACTACTAGCCCAAACATTTTTATATGTGAACTAAACCACATATTGCAGATTTAAGGACAGTCAGTATTCATGAGTTATTTTATGGTACTTGAATTTTCTGATTGATCAGCTTCATATAGTTTTACTTCTTACGTTGGTACATTGGATATTTCGCTCTCTTCTTCTCCTGCTCTCTTCTACAGACCTGCTATGGTCTTCTTACCCTGCTGACTGATGTTTTTGCAGTAGTTAATGGTTACAGTGGTTCATGGTAACTACTGGGGTTGGTAGAGAAATGTCACAAGTTGACTGCTGCTGAGGCTGTTGAACCCTTTAGAAAAGGGTAATTGTGGGGAAAATCAAACCTGAATTTTGTGTAGAGAGGGCAATGCTGCTACACCTGGGTAAATAGCAAATTCACTATATCTTTAAAGTACTGTAGTTTTGAAAACTAGCATCTGGACTCTCTGACTTAGAGGTACATTTTATCTACTAGAACAACAATTTGTTAGAGAATGTTGGCTAAGATTTTGTAAAAATTGGTAATTTTTAAAGGATAAAATTGTGTAATATGGATCTGCTAGGCAAAGATGATGAATACTTTTCTTTTCCTAAAATATAATATTACTATAAATTGTCGTTAAACATATTTTCCCCTTGTTTTTTAAAAAGGAACTTAGGGTACCAGTTTTGCAATGTAGTTTCAAAAGCATATTATATTTGAATTTAGGATTTTCTAAATCCTGAATTTGAAGTTATGATCTGCTGGTTGGAGCTAGTTGTCAGGAATCAAAGTTAAATAGTTCTTTTAGCATCAACTACCTGAACTATCTCTTCATCTCAAATGAGGTATTAGTTATTGTGATTTCTCTTGGAATTATTTTGAAACAAAATAAAAATAATTATGAAAGCACTATCAGAAGTGTTACTATTAATGCAGCTATGAAATATGTCTACTTCCTATATTATTGAGCCTTTTTCCCCTGATAAATTAAAGTCCCTAATGTTGTAGGAAGTCCACTAAGCAACCCCATATGTGAGAGTAAATTTGAAAACAGATAAAACTAATTTCCCTGCATCCTGAATGCAACTCTTAACTTGACAGTTATTCCCACAGCATTTCAGTTTGACATTCTTTGAATTGCCTTACACTAAAAAATTTTATATAAAAAAAAAAATTTATATTAAGATGGTATTACTATAGTAGACATTATTTCACAAAGACTGTAGGAGTTGAGGGGCCGGCTGAGTGTAACGTTGGTTAAGAGTTGGCTTGGGACGCCAGCTCTGAGAAGCAGGGCTCCAGTTCAGATCCCACATGAGGTCCAGTGACGCTGTGCCCTCTACATCTAAGATGGTGAACAACAGCTTGACCTGGAGCTGGGCTGCCATGAGTCGCCAGTGACAGCGTAGGCTGCAGTGGGCTGCCGTAAGCTACCATGAGTGGCCGGCAGCCGACCTGAACTGCTGTGAGCGGCTGTCCGAGGGCTGACAAGTGATCTGCCTCACCCGGGAAGAGCGCAATGATAATAGCAACATGGGTCAGTGAAGCAACATCCTCCACAACTAGACTGAAGAACAAAAGGACAGCAACTTGTCTGTTCCCCTTCCCCGATTCCCCAGCGCTGTTCCCCTCCCCCAATTCCCCAATTAAAAAAAAAAAAAATATATATATATATGGGTTGAGCAAGTTGTTACAACTGACTGTCCTGATTAAAACATGTCTATTAAAGTCAGATCTACAGAAAGGGAAACAGAAATAAGCAAATTACTTAATTTGGATTCATGATAAATTGGCCCTTTTTCACATAATTATTTAGATTTTTTATTCTACCTTCCAATGTGTGATTCTAAATTTTTCCTGACATTTTTTTTCATTTATGAGTTTGTTTTTTCAGATGTTATTTATTTACTTTTTTGAATTGCTCTTATAATAATGAACTCTTCCTATGTAGGTATGAAATCACCAGAAGAACAACTGGTGTATCTGCCACCGCAGGAGGCCTTTCCTAATGACCCCCGGGTAATAAGTAGACAGAGAAGTTCTGATTACCAGTTTCCATCCTCTCCATTTACAGACACACTAAAGGGCACCACTGAGGATGACGTGTTGACAGGTCAGGTGGTGAAAGTGGAGGAGCAGTGTGTGCCAACAGCAGAGCCGCCTGCAGTGAGTGAAACCACAGAGAGGACAGTGTTAGGAGAATACAATCTCTTTTCTAGGAAGATAGAAGAGATTTTGAAGGAAAAGAATGTTTCATATGTCAGTAGAATTTCCACACCTGTTTTTTCAACACAAGAGAAGATGAAACGGCTTTCTGAATTCATATATTCTAAGACTTCCAAAGCTGGCGTACAGGAGTTTGTAGATGGCTTGCATGAGAAACTAAATACTATTATTATCAAAGCATCAGCCAAAGGTGGGAATTTGCCACCAGTCAGTCCAAACGATTCTGGTACTAAGATAGCATTGAATCCTCTGAGAAGACATATCATACCAGTTTCCTCAAGTGACTTCAACAGTAAACACCTTGAACCACTTTGTAGTGATACTTTGAAAGACACCAACTCTAATGAACAGCATTCCTCCTCTACTTTGGGTTTAACTGCAGAAGTGAACCAGCCACACCATGCTACAGAGCTAATGGTGACCTCTGATCATACTGTACCTGGTGATATTGCTCAGGAACCAGTAGAAAAAGAAACAAAATCACCCAGTGATGTAAACATTTCTACCCAACCAGCTCTTTCAAATTTTATAAGCAAGTTAGAACCTGAAGTTTTTAACAGTTTGGTTAAAATCATGAAAGATGTCCAGAAAAATACTGTGAAATTTTATATTCATGAAGAAGAAGAGAGTGTGCTCTGTAAAGAAATAAAGGTAACTAAATGAGAAGGTAATAGTAATGTGTATAAACCTGTCTTGTTGCGTCTAACCTCTATAAAAAGGAATTTTTTGTTGTATTTAAATGTTGGCCATATATTTTCATATGCAGAGTGGAACAAAGACTAGTAAGTTCAACTAAATTGAAAACCTGTGCTCTAAATATGTTAGAATTTAGAATCTTGTTTTATAGTGTTATTTTAAAAGACCATTGTATACTGCAAATACCTTTAAACTGTTGATTCAGAGATTTTAAGTGTTTCATACTTGGGTTTTTAGGGAGGGAAAAATAGAGGGGTAAAGGAAGTTGTCAGTGTTTACCTCATGTGGGGCTTATCAATCAAATAGAAAAATAAACTGTCCAGGGATGACCTAATTATATCTTTTGGCGTTTCTTGATACCCTGGTCATATCAAGGTTCCCTACAGCCCCTTATTGATCAAAATATATGATGATCCTGAAAGACTCCCCAATCATGAAAGATCCCTCACTGCAAGGTATATATTTTTTTCTACTCAAGCTACAGAGTAGATGAGCATTTCAGGTATTTGGTTTAAAAAAATATTTTTGTGTGTATGTGTGTGTGTGTAAAATTTGTAACAATAGGTATGTAAATTATAACACATTGGAATAATTCTATTGGTTTACTATTAACCGATTAATAACCGATTAATATTCACTAAACTATAGGATTTTAATTCCTTAAGGAAATGCCTTAGGTTTTAAAATAAAGGCCTGTTCCCATTTATGGAATTTTCTTACCACGATGAGTTTCTGACTGTTTTGTTAAAGAAGCAGAAGAAACTATAAATAAGAGGCTTATAAGCCCAGAGTGGCCTAGAAACTCCATATCCTGAGGCTTTGTCAATTTGGGGATCTCTTTGATGTTAGTGTACTTGTGTGGTGTGCCCATGAGAAACAAAGGAGGCGGCCCAGTGCTCAGCAAGTGCTCAGCATGTCTTCTAATTCCCTGTGGTTTCTTGGGAAGATGAAACCAGACTTACTAGGAATTCTTTGGTTGCATTTTTGCCGTGTATGATTGAACATAATGCTTCTCAATATTTTTCCAGCCCAAGCAGCGTATTCCAAAGCGTGGTACTCTTTGGGGCATAGCTACATGTTGTGGAGCTAGATGAAAAAATAGGGTAGGCACAGGTCCCAGTGTGCTCAGCATTACTCCACCTTCCCCCCCCACACACACACACCATATTTTTAACTGATTGTAACACACTTACAGGAAATGCATTTACTTATGAATGGTACTTGTGATTCATTCTGGCATAGAATAAATAATTTTTGTGTTATTTTTATCTAAAAGAAAAGGATGCTGTGTGTTTTACAAATCTGATAGGAAAGAAATGAGATTGGAACTTCGTGTTAATGAATATCCATTGGGAAATTTCCAACAAAAACGTTGCAGTAGAGTAAAAAGCTTTATGAATAAAGTTTTAAGCTTCCTAAATAGTTCTGGAGTCAAATTGATTTGTTATGGTATGAGTTAAACTGTCTTATCTAAAACAAACTCTCATGTAAAAGCTTCTTAAAGACAGACCAAAAATTACAAGCAGGCCTGTCAGACAGTAATTTACCTTATTACCTGACTGTAAGCTGCTTTGAGATCTGCCTAGAAGCTTTACAGGTTAGAGCAAAATCAAACAATGTAGAAGATAGTGCTTTAGTTTGAGGCTATACAGAAACCTTCTTTTTGGATGTATGACACTTGTAGACAGCTCTTGAAAAATAAGTAGACTGGTTATGAGGCAAGCTGGGTTTAGATTTATGCTTATCTAACCAGCCGTGCAAACCTTGAGGAAATTAATATGCTCCTGGGTCTGTGAAATGAGGAATATGACCTGTATGATTTCACCAGCAAGCAAAGAGCAAAGGGAACTCTGCCTGGACTACTACCTTGTGTCCTTTGAAAGGTAGCAGCGTGTCTCCAGGATTGAGGGAGGTATTAGGTGGGACATTTTATTTTGCTTGAAGGTGTAAACTTGACAGACATGGCTAATTAGTATGTGAACACCATTGTACATACTGAAGTTCCTTATTAATGACTTTGGGGCTATTATGAATTAAATTAAGCTACAGTGGTCAGAAGAGTGGTTCATAACTGAAGGAGTATATCAGTAATATTGCTACAATTAACCAAGGGTCTGCTTTGAAATAAATGGAAAATGGGGCTGAGGGAATGGTTAATGATTGGGCTCTGGGTTGCCCAAACTAAGCAGTGGAGCTGGGTTAAGAACCTGGGCTAATCCATTGTTTTTATGGTTCTTTGTTTTATCCCACATTGGCATTTACTTGGCTTTGATCGCATAGCATTGTATCATTGTGACTGACCATTTAAGCTCTGAGCTTTAGATGCATCTATAAGAAGAGCAGACTTGATGATCTCTGAGGTTCCTAGAGTATAAGAGGTCATTATTAATAGCACTTTAGCTTAAGCTTATGTTTATTAGTTTATCTTGCATTTCTAGTGTTAAATGGATGTCTGCAAAAAAACCTTTTTAATGTTCATTTAATTTTTTCTCTTTAACAGGAATATCTTATCAAATTAGGCAATACAGAATGTCATCCAGAACAGTTTTTGGAAAGAAGATCAAAATTAGATAAACTATTAATTATTATTCAAAATGAAGACATTGCAGGTTTCATTCACAAGGTAGACTATTAAGTCAAATTTACAACTTATTTTGGTTATAAAAAACACCCTTATAAAATCATACTGTCTTTGAGACTAAAACTGTTTGTTTTTAAAATATCCGTGTTAAAACATCCAGGTTCAGAGGTTTAGGGCTTGAGAACTAAATGACCCTCCCATGAATTAGGTTGTGAAATGTAAGTTTTTACTCCTGCAAAATTTTACATGGCTGCACATCACAGATCTTCCCTATCACTCAAATAGTCAAGAATCCTGACTCCTTGAATGCCAGTGAGTCTGCTGACTCTATATTGACATCTTCATTTGTATGTCCCAGGTAAAACCTATTTCCCCATCCCCTTTGCCAAACCAGTCCCTCTTTCCCTTGGGTTTGGAGGTACCCCAAACAGTCTTATGAGCCTATCTCAAGTCCTACTGCCCTTTGGAGCCTTTCCTGACTGTTTCAGTTCATAGGCTGTTGCCCTCATCTGAACTGACTATACTCACAGGGCCAGACAGGTTAGCATTTTTCATTCTGTGTTTCCAGGTCTATTGTCAGTGCCTTTCCCTTAAGAGTGTTCCATTCATGGTAGGTGCACAGTACATAAACGTTGGCTTATCTATTTAGAAATAATGTTGGGATTATTTTGTGCTTAGCCTTCCAGAAGCAACACACTAATATAGGTGAGCCATAGTGCATTTTGTTAAAGACTTTTCTTATAGGTTACTTCACACTTGAGTCTATCAGTTCTTTGTCTTATCTGTCCTTATTTCTGTTTTTATTTTGGTATTTAAATAGGTACCTGGCTTGGTGACTTTAAAGAAGCTCTCTTGTGTTAGTTTTGCTGGTGTTGATAGTCTGGATGATGTTAAAAATCATACATACAATGAATTATTTGTATCTGGAGGTTTTATTGTGTCTGATGAATCCATTCTAAATCCAGAAGTTGTCACAATTGGTGAGTTTTGTGCAGTTTTTTCAGCATGTAATTTCTGTCTTTTCTGAGTTTTTCTCAATGACTCACGCATACTTTTGAATGTATTGCCCATTCTGCCATTCACAGATAACTAGCACATTTCCATCATTTTCTTGAGCTTTTATTACCTCAAATTTCATTCCCATTCTTAGTCTTTACAAACAATTTCCTCTAAATTTGGTGTAAAGCAAGGCTTTCTACACCTACTACACTTGGATCACTTCTGGTTTATTGTTACCAACATGTTCTTTTTTATAATGTGTAGACGTAACGTTCTTAGATCTGAAAGAAAATAACTGCATAAGGATATGGGTGCTTCTACACAATATCACCAAACACTTCTTCCGTAATTAAGTTGTGGATGACTTGTTATTATTGAATTTAAAATGAGTTTCATTATCTCTAACAGAGAACCTTAAAAAATTTTTGACATTCCTCGAAGAACTTAGTACTCCAGAAGGAAAATGGCAATGGAAAGTCCACTGTAAATTTCAGAAAAAGCTAAAGGAACTGGGCAGGTAAGATTTCAAAAATAATGGTATAATTGTTGTTGATTTAACATTGTATTCATAAAGTTTTTCTATTTCTCTGTGTTTGTAGATTATGGATGCTGCTCAGTTTTCCCAGATGTCCTTAGTCAACCATAAGGGAATGTAATACTGAATTATTCTAGCCTGTTTGCAAGTGTTATTCTTGTATAGGTAGAAGTTTGCTTAAGTTCTAGTTATGTATATAGGTAAAAGTGCTTTAATCTTCGCTGTTTGGGGGTGTATAATAATAATCAAAATGGAGTAATCAACATTCTTTTTTTTACTCAACTGTATATGCCAACTAGATCAGGTTCTCTCCCAATTGAGGACTACCTCCGGCAGCTAATTCAACAGTGTCACACATAACTGAGACAAAGGGTAACCTCAACACGATAAGGGGATTTGTGATTAGGACATTCATTTACATAAATAGATGATTTCTAACCTGCCTAGAAGTCTCTTCTCAAAGTGTGAACCTTGGAGCACCAGTCATTTTAACAGGCTCCACAAACAATTATGTAATCTTACTACAAATTTAAGGATCTGAGAAACTGTAATTAAGAATTCTGTTTTATAATTTCTCAGCCAGCATTTCCTAAACTTAGACCACAAAACATTTCTTCAAATACATATTGACATTCCATGATACATACTTAGGGAAATACAGGCTTAAATAATTTTAAAGTATTCAACTTTTTGTAGTAATTCATTTTTTAAAAACATGTTTTATCTTCAAATCATGTGAAATAGGCATTGGACAAGTCTTATCTTTATGTAATAGATAAATAGTACTGAAGACCAAAGGTATAAATTCTACAAAGTTAGTACCCTCATCTTCTTGACAAAAGTAATTTCTACCACTTGTTGCCTTGTGCATGGAGACATAGAAATAGCTTAGAACCAAGTATTTTTTGAAGGAAAGATTTATATTTTTTGTCCATTATGCCTTCATCAAAGCTCTAAATTGGTGAAGCTAAAGAGAATTGTAATTTGTTATTTAGTAAGTGAAATGACTGGTTGAGATTTTCGCCTATCTACACTGAATAGTTGGCCCTCAGGCTTTGCACCCAGAGAAAGCCCCTGGACTGACGTGTGGGTTGCAGAACTCCTGCTATCTCTCACTAAGAAGCACCCCTGCATCAGGCAGTGGGCCAAGCAGTGCAGTTGTCATTAGTTGCCTCAGGTTAAGAAATTATGATGTTAATTTGAATTGAAGCAAAAACTTCCATAGGACAGTTTAGAAATGCAAATCCAGATACTGAACTACTTCATTTCACAGATTGAATGCTAAAGCTCTAAGTCTGTTGACTCTTCTGAATGTCTATCAGAAGAAACATCTCGTTGAGATTTTGTCATACCACAATTGTGATTCACAAACTCGAAATGCTCCAGAATTGGATTGCCTTATCAGACTTCAGGCTCAGAACATACAGCAACGACACATAGTCTTTTTAACAGGTAAAGAAAATGCTCTTCAGCTTTCTGCTATGAATATAGGAATGTGGATGAAAGGATTTTGTGGGGCTGTGGTGGGTGTTGATAAGCTACGATTCTGAAAATGTGGAGCAAAGAATTTTGTGAGGACTGGGGGCAATCATCATCATTTGCCCATGTGCATTTTCAAGGACTGTATTTTATACTCAACATTTTCTTTTTAATTTAGAAAAGAATATCAAGATGTTTTCCAGTTATACTGATAATGGAATAGTTGTTGCAACTGCTGAAGACTTTATGCAAAACTTTAAAAATCTTGTGGGCTATCACAACTCAATCACAGAAGAAAACCTCCCACTGCTTGGTGCTAATGAGAATCTTGAGTCACAGTCAGGTAACTTTTTAGTAGTTTTCATTTTCTTTAAGGCAGACAGAAAAAGAGGAATGGTTTTGCTCTTTTCATATAATGAAATGCCTATTTTCAAACCACTCACCTCAGTGTAAACAGCTTCAGGGGAAGTGTTTTAAGGACTTTATAATTCTTATATTTAGCACATACAAAATCTGCTCATGAATTATACTGTAGTAAGTACAACCTGTTAGTTTTCTGTAGACTGTGTACTATAGAGTAGGCATTTTCTATTTGAGGGTTATTATAAGCTTTATTGGTTGCTGTTGTCAGCAAAGGGGTTATATTTTTTAAAAAGGATACCAGATATGGGGATTTAGCACTGGGCTACTAAATCTCCCCAGATGTACAGTGCAATTTAGTGCAGTATAGTAGGGACGTCCATAGCTTTTCGTCTTTTGTGAGATGGCCTCTGCTTTGGTTCCAGGTTTTATGTAAAATGAAAGATGTACTTTTGTTTTTGAAGAAAAGCAGAGATGATTGAACATTTGGTAGAGCTAACCAGTTTAGACGTAATCCAGTGAAGCTAGATGTCAGAATTTTTATTTTATATTTGTCTTGTCAAATACTGAATTACCGTATAACTTTAGATGCTGTTTTGACATTAACCCCTTTGGAGCTGGGAGTTGGGATTTCCCAACATTAAACGTGAACACATTTCGCAGAAGCTTTTAGCATCGGATTATCTGGACATTCACACCTAGTGTGAGTGTTGTGACTAAGTGAACTTGTGGCAGAAGACCAAGCTTTAAGGGATTGTGGACTTGCAGACCCTGACGCATTATATTGTGTGAGTAGTGTATAATTTTAAAACTTAAACAAATTGTGTATTTCAATAGAGGAGGACTTTTTGTTTTTTAAATGTAGCTCTTTTAGAAAACGATGAAAAGGATGAAGAGGATATGTCTCTGGATTCAGGGGATGAAATCTCACAAATAGAAGTATACAGCAATTTTCATTCAGAAATATTGGCGAAAGAGACCAAAGGATCACGTGGAACAGATCAAACAGAGAATATTCAAATTGAGTTGCAATCGTCTCTTGACGTGCAAAAAAGTTTATTAGAAGATAAGACTTATCAAATTGATTCTGAAGACAGAGCTATTGATGTGTGCTCTGAAGGACAGAAAAACAATTCAGCTGAACAGGAGTCATATAGCAGCTTTCAGGATTACCACAGTCGATTAAATATGTCCCATCAGTTTAGTCATTTTAATGTTCTCACGCATCAGACATTTTTGAGGACACCATATGCCCTTTCATCAAGTCAGTCTCAAAGTGAAAATTACTTTTTATCTGCTTATATGCAAAGCTTGGATAGAGATAAATCTCTATTAAGTTGGGGGAAAAATGATTCTTCCAGGCCATATTCAAAAGATAATTATAGTAACTTTTTTTAAAAAATAGGAATTTCTGTGTTTCTTAAAAGTGAATTAACAATTTATATTTCATTCTCTCAGCAAAAGATTTCTTGTCCTTTCTCAAATGTTTTTTTCCCTTTTATTTAAATCATGATGGCCTGTAACAGTTGAAGCATATGAAAATTGAAATAAATATATTTTTAACATATATTGTACTTGAATTATCTCATGTTGGCACTTTTAAGTTTTACATTGGTATATCACCTGTACTCGGCTTCAAATTGAAGTCTTTTATATATAAAACTAGATGTTTGCAAAAGGATAGTAAACAGCAGTGGCTTTACTTTTTTCTTCCTCTAATGTCAGATGATACCAACGACTTTTGCTGAAATACTATTGTTATTTATTTTAAGCTTTTGTATAGTGTTTTTACACAGGTATAAGCCAGTGATGTTAATAAATATTTACAGGATTTTGGCTCAGTACCTCAGGATTTATCTAACAATGCGTTTTCATTTAGATAACAAACTATGTACATAGGACTTAGGCCTTTATACCAGGCAGCATTATTTTTTATCTTTAGGGTTAGCTATGTAAAAATTGCCTATTGCTAAAAACTTAGTCAACCTTTTATTTGAGAGTACTTTATAATTATGATTTTCAGTGCTTGTGTAGCCCATGACTTACCCAAATTCAATTTCATATTTCAAAAGATAGGTTTATTAAAGGCATTGGACAATTTGGAACAAACTCTTTGATATAGATTTTTAAATTGGTAGTCTTAGAAAAGAAGTATATTTTTGAGGTGGTAAGCACTTAACAATAACTTTAAATTCACAGATAAATTATCTAGTGCAGATAAATTTTAAACCCACATCTATTGCCAATAACTGCCTCTCTATTATTACTAATGCAAACTTGTAAATGTTTTTGAAAAAACTGCAATTCTTACAAAAGTCATAACTGGATTTTGAGAAAAGAAATTACCATGTAAGCCTAAACTGAATCTGGGTTTGGTAAAAGTTGAGCTGTATTAAATAAGATTTTCCTTTGGCAACTCACAGCTTGGAAGAGTTCTTCTACCCTTTTTTTATAGAGCAAAATACATAAGGTGGTATTTCAGTTAATAAGCTACATATAAAATGTGTGGAAAAAAGTTATCTGTTAATAGGTCAGAAACTCCAGACTGTGTTAAGGTAAGTAGAAAGTGTTTTTATAGGACTTAAATTACCCAGATTGTGACAGCAGGAAAAAAAATTTTGTTTACTACTAAATTTTTACAAAAATGTCTGTTTTATTGTTAAAATATATCTATATCTATCTACACACAGCATTTTATTACATAATGTACAAGTTATAAATAAGCATTTAAAAATAAATCTAGGCTATTTGAAAAATACAGTGAAGCAACAAGGACATTTTATAATCTGGGAGACAAATGTAAAGGATTTGATTTTTCCATATTTAAAACGAAGAACTAAAATTCTCTTCTTGATTGGCAGCTAAAGGCATAAGATTCGTTTCCAACTCCCTCTGCTTCTGGAGAAGGCCCTGAAATTACATTGATACGTTAGTAAGGTGTGTGGCAGACTTGCAAATTACTCCAATTTAAATTTTTATCCTGTTAATCCAGAATTGTATGTACTTTGAAAACATGTATTAAGCTCAGATATTTGGCTACAGTTTAAGCTTTCTCTTTGTCATGTTAAATTTTAATCACACAAAAAATGCTTCAGTAATTCTCACACTAGACTTTCTCACTTGGACACTGTATAGCTTACATATTTGTAAGGTTATATTTTTAGCATTAAAATCAATAGGGATAACTTTTCTTAAAACGAAGTCTCCATAATTATGGGGCTGAGGGTCCCCTCTCCCGTCCCCCAAATGTTCTAACGTTTATCTTGCCTGAACTAACCTTAGGGGCTTATACAAGGCTCTGCTGAAATAAGATGTGGGCAAATGTGTATATCATACTCCTTCCTCTTGACCTTGTCTCCAGTAAGCTAAAAGTTTTAAGTACAATCTTTAGTGTGAGAGAGTTACCTAACTCAATCTATATGTAACCAAATGTAGCATTTAAAAAAAATTAAGGACACTTTTCTTCCTAATCCTGTGTTAGGTGATTTTCTAGCTCTACAGAATCAACAATTTGAAATACAAGAGGCACTGGTAAATGACTACACATAGAAAAAGACACTCTTAAAATTGCAGTGTATTTTTCCTAAAAACAAAAAGTATACTGTGAATGAAAACGAAATGTAGACCCAGTTTTGCAAGCCACTATTTTTTTTTTTTAAGCCCAGGGGTAGGTTATTTTAAAGCCAACTGATGGCAAAAAGTTATAGCCTTAAATATTGGATGTATTACCTGATTTTATTTTTATTTGACCAAGGTGAGAAGCCACAATAATTGGCCTGGGATAAAAAGTAGTCTGGTGAGTAAGGTTATATGTATAATTTCACACTGAATTATATTATTCTTTGGGACTTGAGTCAATGTTCTGAACACTGCCAGCACATTTAAAAACAGGAATTGCATTACTAAGAATTTATTAAAGCATAATTGTATATTTACTTTTTGCTTTTGGTTAGGGCCTTATTGATGTTTTACTGTTCAAATGTATTTTTCATTCAATAAAATTGTCTTAATATTTGAACTCTCATGATGTCATACTGGAAATTCTTAAGGATGGTAGGTGAAGCAAACTGAAGGCAAGTCCTGTTTTCTATTCAAAATTAATACACATAGGTGTTAATTTTTTTTTTTTTTTTAAGATTTATATTGGGGAATTGGGGAGTTGGAAACAGTGCTGGGGAACTGGGGGAAGGAAAACAGAGAAGTTGCTGTTGTTTTGTTCTTCAGTCTAGTTGTGGAGGACGTTGCTTCACTGGCCTAAGTTGGCACCATCACTGCGCTCTTCCCGGGCGAGGCAGATCAGTCGCCAGCTTCTGGACGGCCGCTCACTGCGGCTGCTGGCCACTCACGCTGGCTGCTGGCTACACACGGTAGCCCATGGCAACCCACTGCCACAGGGGCTGCAGCCTACGCCATCGCTGGTGACTCACGGCAGCCCAGCTCCAGGTTGAGCTGTTGTTCAGCATCTTAGCTGTGGAGGGCAGTGTCACTGGCCCTCATATGTGAGATCCGAACCGGGGCCCTCTGGCGTCCCAAGCCAGTTCTTAACCATCGCGCCACTCGGCCGGCCCTAAATTTCTTTTTTTTAACTGGGATGTGGTAAAATCACATAAATCATGTAACCAACTAGGCACTTCTATAATAAAACAACCATTCCAACACACAGCCCTCCACCAGTCATATAAAGAAAACAGTCACATCCACACTTAGTGAAAATGCTCATACCTGTCTCAGCTCGGATAGTCCTTTCAGGATTGCTTGCTGACGATCCCTGTTTTTCACAAAGTTAGGATTAAGAAGTGGGTCCCTGACATAGTCAGAGTCAAATAGCTGTCGTCGTTCTTGGTCACAGTCTAAAGCCAGGTGAAAATGACAAAAGTCATATACATTCCTAATATGATACAGCCCTAATGCTATAGTATTCTCAGGAGTCATTAATAAAGTTATATCCTGGGAAAGCACCAAGCAAAATTTAATATATTCAATTAAAAATTTAGTAATGGACCCCAAAACCTGGGGCAAGCCCTGTTATGACACTTTCTAGAACTAAGGACAGGAATACCAATTTAGATTTTGAATTTACATTAGGAGGCGAGAATCTTTACATTTACCTACCATACAGATTTTGGTACTGAGGATCCTGGGATAGAGGCCGAGTCAATGGTGCATCTGGATCAAGGTAATAGATCTCATCGGTTCGGACATAGGGGATAAAATGGGATGGCTCAGGAATCCTAGGTGATAATCCCGTTTCACTGCCTTCTAAGATAAGAGTCTCTCTTTCATAATTACTCTCTCTTAATGTCTGGGTTTGTTGCGTTCTGTTTTTCACCGCAGGGACTGGTGGTGACAGAGACCTATATTTTCAAAACACAAACGGATAAAGAAGGTTTAATGCAAAATTGTGTGTTTAGATTAGGCACATCTTTAATCACATTGCAGTTTATCCTAAATGTACCTGTAACACCTTTAGAAACAGAACGGGACTGATTTGGGTTTTTACCAGTACTTGCTAAATAAAGACACATACACTCTGCTGGGGGGAAAAACTACACTAGAGCCTGAGGATCAATGTTCTCTGGGTTAATTTGAGCCTAATGTTCTCCTTAAATAATTCATCTTAAAGTAATGCACTTACCAGCTGACCTAAGCCTGCTATTACAGCCACATTCTGAAGACAACTCTGAACCAGCTGGTTCGTGCACAAAGACAGAAGAAAAATTCTAACACTTAAATCTCCCATCGGTTAGTTGCATTTCTCATTATCTCTACCAGTGATTTCTTCCCTCCCCTTTTAATCCAAGCACAATGTCCTGGATTGATACTGTTGACATGCCTGGAAAATCAAAACTGTAGCTGAGTCTGGAGATAACACAAAACATTCCCCACATTCCTGCTTAGAATGCCTCAGTCCAGTCCAACTTGGGCCTTCAAATTCTATGCAAAGTGCCAGCCACCCTTTCCCTGCACTCCACACCTGTAAACCACACACTTCATGTTTCTGTTTTCATATACATACATGCTTGACCTCACCTGTGTTTTAAGCAAATATTGTATATCTCTCTTGTACCACACACAAAGCACTAAGTAGCTATAGAATCAATCTATCCACAACATACCTTTCTTTGCTGAATGAATTAACTTTGAAATGTTCTTCTTCCTAAAAGATGGATAAATGCAGAAAGGAATAATAGTATTTCCATGTCCCCATAGATACTTTTAGTGGTTATTATGTTGAAATAATTGATAATATTTGAATACAAGATAACAGATAATGGGATAGAGGGACTTTGCATTTTCCCCGAGTCAGAACCAATCCAGTAATTCCTGATCTTGTACATTATCCTGTGTATATGACCATAAACAAGTTTTGAAATGGGTACTTCAAAAGAATAGCATTAATCAATATAAGTTTTAAGTGTAAACTTTTCTATAAGGGACCAGATAGTAAACACTTGGCTTTGCAGGCCAAGTGGTTTCTGCTGCAACTACTCCACACTCAGCAGCTGTTGTGTGAAGCCAGCCAAAGATGATCCATAAAAAGAATGCATGGCTGTGTTCTTATAAAATGAGTGACAAATGCAGGCAGTGGGATGAATCTGGCCGTGGGCCAGTTTGCCAACCCTGGTATAAACTAAAGCCAATTTCTAGAACTCCTGGTTCAGACAGAACAGCCTTGTCAAAACGTGCATGTGGGGAACTGTTTGCAATCTGGAAACACCAATATATGCTTTAAAATATATTTTTAAGACAAGAGCTTTACCTTTTTGACTAGATGCCACCTGAACTTTGGCTCAGTTTCTTGATGAGATGAATGAAGGACTTCTGGGCAAGTGCCTCCACTTTGAGAGAAGTGTCCAGGGTTATTTCTTTCTACCAAATAAAGCAGTTCCATTTGCCTTCTTACTTTTTTTTCTTCTCTCTGCTTTTGAAGCTGTTTAGGGTACTTTTCTGATGCTGGAATATACCTTTTGAGTGGCTTATTTATATTCCAGTCAGGCCTTTTAGGACATTTCTTCATATGTTTTGTTTGTTTCTCTGTTCTTGTGAATTGATTATGACTACACTGGTCATTGTACCAACTGTTTTCTTTTTCTAAGTTGGCTCCTTTATCCTGACTTACTAGTTCTTGCTTATTTTTCTTAGTGTTAAACTGTTCATTAAATTCTGCAGGAATCTTGGGAGATGAACAATTTATAACTTCCCTCTTTATTACTGATCCACAATGTGATTCTGCACTGGTGAATATTCTAGTATTTAAGTCATCTAAAAGAAAAATAAAAAAGCTTCAGATTAATTTTTTAAAATTGTGGTTAAAATATACATAAAATTTACCACTTTAACCATTTTTTCAAAGGCAATCATTTGGTTACCGCTCCAAACTTATTTTTCTTTAATTTTCCAAACAAATTCTGTACCCATTAAACAGTTCTCCATCTCTCCCCTTAGCCCCTGGCAATCACTATTCTCCTTTCTTTTTCTATGAATTTGACTAGTCTAAGTACCTCATACAAGTGGAGTCGCACAGTATTTCTTTTTGTGACTGGCTTACTTTGCTTAGCATGTCCTCAAAGTTCGTTCATGTTGTAGCATGTGTCAGAATTTCCTCCCTTTTTAAAGCTGAATAATATTCCATTTTATGTATATACCACGTTTTGTTTATTCATCTGTCAAGGGACACTTGGGTTGTTTCCACCTTTTGGCTGTTGTGAATAATGCTGCTGTGAACATCGGTGTCCAAATATCTCAGAGATCTTACTTTTCAGTTCTTTCAGGTAAAGAAGTAAAGCTTTATCCAGAAGTAAAACTGCTAAGTCATATGATAATTTACATTTTTAATTTTATGAGGAAGTACCACACTGTTTTCTATAGTGGCTGCTCAATTTTTACATTCCCACCAACAGTGCACCATGGTTCTGATTTCTCCAAATCCTCCATTAAACCATTTAAGTGTATAATTCCGTGACATCAAACATACCCACAATGCCACACAATTCTAGACCCTTTCATCACCTCAAACAAACCCTGCACCCACTAAGTAGAAACTCCCATCTCCACACACTCCCAATCCCAGCAACCTCCACTCTATTTTCCATTCCTATGACTGTTCACCTGCCCCCAGATTCCTCACTGAACAAGTCGAACTAGTATTTGTATCTCCCTGCACCTCTCCACCCCTGTGTCTGGCATAATGCCTTCGAGGGTCATTCATGCCCTAGTATGTATCAGAACTTCAGGTAATTCACTTGAAGCATCACATAATATAGACCATTTTTTTAAACAAAACTCCACAGGATTGTCCTGGCTTTTACGTGAATATACAAACACCATATGTAATATCATCTTGTATACGTAAGATTATTTCTGAGAAAAAAATCTAATTTACATTTTTCCTATCGATGGTAACTGACAAAACATTTTTCATCAAAGCAATGTAAAACTCTTGTGAGATGTCAAGTTTTCTTGGTTTGAAATTAACAAAGTATGGGAAAATGTCTCATAAAACTTTCCTCTTGGAACCAAATTTTTAGGGAAATGTTGCTATTGATATAGTCATGTTGCATTTCATGTACTTCTAAGTCCCTGTCTCATACCATTATGCTTTGCCTGCAGACCATCCCTGAATCACATACAACCTTTTATTTTTTTCCATTCTAAAAAAAGGAGAAGTTTCGTCATTCAAAAAAAGACATCTGAGATTTCCTTCTCTCTCATATGTTCAGTGGTGTGCTCAGCACAGCTGGGTAACAAGGTGAGCAACAACCTTGCAAAGGCTTTCTTTCACTTACGATTAAAATTTTAAATTCACAATTAGCTAATGAAAGGAGGTCTGGGTTGCACATTAAAAAAAAAAAAAAGTCCAGTTATTGCTCCCTTATCTTGGATACTTATTAGGTGTGTTATTCCAGGCTGGAACTGCTCCAGGACTAATCCCTGGTAAGGTGGCCTGGCCCGCATCATTCTCATACTGGCTATCTTCTTTTTCCACTCCAGACCCACTTGACACCTTTCTCTTCCCTGGCAGGATGACTGAAATGAACAGTATTAAGGGGTTCCTGGGTCCTCTGGCTTCTGCTTCTGTCAAGAGGGTTTACAGGCAGATTAAAAGGAGGGAAAAGACTGAAATCAGGATATATTGTCCACTGGCTCATTCCCTGTGACTTGACCTCAGGCTGACTCTGCCCCTTCACCAACGTCATTTGGAAATAGTCCCTCTCGAAATAAACCATTTTGACTTATTTTATTTTGGGATGCTGATTAAAATCCCTTATTTAGAGCTGCTTAGTGTTAATACACAGAATTTTACTGTCTTAAAAGACTTAGTTTCATTTTCCCTTAATTGATGTGAGGATTTACATAATTGTTATTTATCTGGACATAGGAAAGGGACTGAACTATATCCTTCAAGCTGAAGAGCCAGCTATCAAAAAATACCCAGAGCTCATAAGCAGAATAATTTCAGATAAGTAAGCAGGCTGCATTGGCAAACTGCTTTACCCCACTTCACGTTGCAAAGTTCTTTTTAGCAGCCCCTTTGCCTCATTCCAGCTGGCATGTGCCATCTTCACATTCTTCCTCTGCTCCATTCCAGAACGACAGTATTTTCTAGAGGGAACCTTCTACAGCCCATTTTTTTGCAGCCACTGCCAGAGGGCTATTCCTTAATGGCCCAGCTCTGGAGGCCATGGGGGCCTGCATTTCTGGGTCCTACGGGGGCTGTAACAATTGGAGACAGTTCTTAGCAGACTACCACCTCCAGGGCAGTGCAAGCACAGCGGACAGAAACAAGCCTATATGATTTTGAGAGAGGCCTAGATGCTGTCCAGGAGGTCTGGCTTTGGGGGCAGGCTTTTACTCTAGTACACATCTAGGAGCCTGCACAGGGGCTCTCAGGGAATGGAGGCCAATAGACGCAATCTTTGTGCTCCCCCTCTGCCTTGCTACAGCTCGCTAGTATTTCCCCAAAAGGAGCTTAGACCTTTGTATGGGGCTCTGATTTGTGCGGCCCTACCAGAAGGCTCCTCTATGTTGCCTGGCTCCGGTAGCCAACATGGCTTTTGCTCCCAAGTCCCACAGGACTATAACCAATGGAGAAAGCTTTCTTCCAGAGCACAGCAAGAGGCAACACCCAGGAGTTCAATCTTTCTGTTAAAGAGGCCTGTTAGCTAATCATTAATAGTTGCAGCCTGATGAGCAGGCTGCTAATTTAACACACATCTAAGGGCTGACTGATCCTTTTCTGAAACCTGGAGGGTGGGTGCCATCTTTGACCTCTCCCTCTGCTGAGCTCCAGAGCTCCAATATCTCTCAGAGGGGAGCACTTATATGCTTCCAATGTCCCAGTTTTATGTCTCATGCCCTAATTTCTACAGCTGCTGCCCAGGGGATGCCACTTGATCACCTGGCTCTAGTGGCCAGGAAGGCCTGTGTTTCTAGGTCCCACCAGACTAGAACAATTAGAGAGACAGTTCTTGGCAGGCTACCATCCCCAGGGAAATGTACACACAGCAGACTGAAACACACACTGTCCTGTGGAAGAAGCCTATTTGCTTGTCTTGCAGCTTCTGCCTGAGGGGCAGGTCTTAGGTCTGGCACACATCTAAAGGCCTACCTACTGAGGTGGTCTCAGGGAACATAGGACAGAACATCTCAGTGTTCCCCTCTACCTACCTAGAGCTCACCGATAGATTATACACTCATCTGGAGCCCTGATATCTGCAACTACCACCCAGGGGACACCTCCAGATCACCTGGCTCTGGTAGCCAACAGGGCTAATGCTTCCAGTCCCAAAGGGCTGTATCGATTTGTATACTTTAAAAGCTGCTGCTTGATGGTCTGATTTCCAATCGCCCTGAACCAAGGTGCTGACTGACAGCCTTTGGGACACTGACAGGTTTTGGCATACTGGGAGCTATTAAAAAATAAAGTAGGCCCCTTGGACAATCACACAGATTTGAGAGACACCCAAGAGCTAAGATAGGGTTGAATGATAAGGTTCATCACCTAAGGTCACACTTTCCCCTTCCAGACTGGGAGAGGTGGCTGTTAGATTTCATGCATAAAAACCAACACAGCGAGTCCAGCAAATGACAAGATAGAGGAATATGTTCAAAATGAAAGAACAAGATAAAAACCTCAGGAAAAAAACATTAATGAAATGGAGATAGTAATTTACGCGATAAAGTGTTCAAAGTAATGTCATAAAGATGCTCCAAATTCAGGAGAAGGATGGATGAACACAGAGATCACTACTCTTGTGCTTTGGGGCCATTATTAAGTAAAATAAGGGTTAGTTGAATATAATCACTGTGATACTACAACAGTTGAACTGATGACCAGGATGGCTACAAGTGACTGATGGGCAGATAGGTAGTGTATGCAGCATGGATATACTGGAAAAAGATTTTATTCATGTCCCAGGTGGGACAGCACAAGAGTTCATCATGCTACTAAGAATGGTGCACAATTTAAAACCTCTGAACTGTTTATTCCTGGAATTAAAACGTCTTAAAACAATGTATGAAGATTGAAATCATGCCAAGCACTTTTACCAACCACAATGGTATCAAACCAAAAATGAATTATAAGACAACTGGAAAATTTGCAAATATGTGGAGATTAAACAACATGCTACTACTGAACAACAAATGGGTCCAAAGAAGAAATTAAGAGAATTTCAAAAAATACCCCAAGACAAATTAAAATGGAAATACAACATACCAAAAATTATGGGATGCAGTGAAAACAGGGCCAAGTGGGAAGTTCATCCCAATAAAAAAAAATGCCTACATCAAGAAACAAGAAAAATTTCAAATAACCTAAAATTACACCTCAAGGAACTAGAAAAAGAACCAATAAAGACCAAAGTTAGTAGAAGTAAGGAAATAAAGATCAGAGCAGAAATAAACAAAATAGACTAAAAAGATCAATGAAACTAAGAACTGGTTCTTTGAAAAGATAAACAAAATTGACAAATCTTTAGCTAGACTTACCAAGAAAACAAGAGAAAGGACTCAATTAAAATCAGAAATGAAAGAGGAGATGTTACAACTGATACCACAGAAATACAAAGGATCATGATCATAAGAGACTATGAACAATTATACACCAACAAATTTGACAACCTAGAAGTGGATAATTCCTAAATACTAACAACCTACCAAGACTGATCTTGAAGAAATAGAAAATTTAGACAGACCTATTACTAGTAAGGAGAATGAATAATCGAAAACCTCCCAGCAAACAAAAGTCCAGGACCAGATAGCTTCACTAGTGAATTCTACCAAAACATTCAAAGAATTATTGCCAATATTTTTTTTAAAAACAGAAGAGGAGAGAATGCTTCCAAACGAATTTTACAAGGCCAGCATTACCCTGATAACAAAACCAGACAAGTATGCCACAAAAAAGTAAAATTATAGGCCAATATCTCTGATGAACATACATGCAAAAATCCTCAACAAAATATAAGCAAAGCAAATTCAACAATACAGTAAAAAGATTATACACCCTGATCAAGTGGAATTTATTCCAGGAATGTAAAGATGGTTCAATACCCAAAAATCAATCAGTGAGATACTCATATACCACATTAATAAAAAGATGGATAAAGACCAAATTATCATCTCAATAGATGTAGAAAAAGCATTTGACAAAATTCAACATCCATTTATGATAAAAACTCTCAACAAAGTGGGTACAGGAGGAACATACCTCAACATAATAAAGGCCACATATGAAAAGCCCACAGCTAACATATTCAGTAGTAAAAAGCTAAAAGCTTTTTTCTAAGATCAGGAACAAGACAAGGATGCCCACTCTCCCCACTTTTATGCAACATCGTAATGGAAGTCTTAGCCAGAGCAATTAGGCAAGAAAAAGAAAAAAAAAGGCATTCAGATAGACAAGAAAAATGTAAAATTGTCACTATTCGCAGATGACATATTATACATAGAAAACTCTAAAGACCACCAAAAAACTGTTAGAACAAACAAATTTAGTAAAGTTGCAGGATACAAAATCAATATACAAAAATCTGTTGCAATTATAGACACTGATAAGAAACTATCAGAGAAATTTAAAAAACAATCCCTTTTACAATTGCATCAAAAAGAACAAAATACCTAGGAATAAATTTAACCAAGGAGGTGAAAGACCTGTACACTGAAAATTGTAAGACACTAATGAAAGAAATTCAAGAAGACACAAAAAAATAGAAAACTATTTCGTGTTCATGGATTGAAGAATAAATATTGCTAAAATTTCCATACTACCCAAAGTGATCTACAGATTCAATGCAAACCCTATCAAAATCCCAGTGGCATTTTTCACAGGAATAGAACAAGCAATCCTTAAATTTTATGGAACTGAAAAAGCCCCTGAATAGCCAAAGCAATCTTGAGAAAGAAGAACAAAGTGGGAGATGACAAACATCCTGATTTCAAACTATATTACAAAGCAATAGTAATCCAAACAGTATGGTATTGACATAAACACACACACACAAATCAACAACACTGAATAGAGCCCAGAAATAAACCCATGTATGTATGGTCAATTGATTTACAACAAAGGAGCAAAGATTATACAATGGGAAAAGGGCAATTTCTTCAATGATTGGTGCTGGAATAACCTGACAGCCAAATGCAAAGGAATGAAAATGGACCACTATCTTACACCATACAAAAACATTAACTCTTAAATGGATTAAAGATGCTTATAAATACCTGAAACCATAAAATTCCTAGATGTCATAGACAGTAAGCTCCCTGACATCAGTCATGGCAATCATTTTTTAGATGTGACATCAAAAGCAAAGGTGACAAAAGTAAACAAGTAGGACTACATCAAACTAAAAAGTTTCTGCAACGGGAAAGGAAACCAACAAAATGAAAAGGCAACCTACTTAATGAGAAAAAATATTTGCATGTCATGTATATAAGGGCTAATATCCAAAATATATAAAGAACTCATACAACTCAATAGCAAAAAAACAAATATCCAACTAAAAAAATTGGGAAAAAGTCTAAACAGACATTTTCCCAAATAAGACATAAAGATGGCCAACAGATGCATGCAAAGATGCTCAGCATCACTAATTATCAGGGAAATGCAATTAAAAACCACAATGAGATATCATCTCACACCTGGTAGAATGGTATTATCAAAAAGACAAGAAGTGTTGGCGAGGTTATAGAGAAAAGGGAACCCTTGTGCCCTGTTGATGGGAATGTGAATTGGTATAGCCACTATGAAAAACAGTATGGAGGTTCCTCAAAAAATTAAAACTAGAACCTCCCACATGCAATTCCACTTCTGGGTATTTACCTGAAGGAAACAAAAACACTAACTAAAAAAGATATATGTACCCCTATGTTCATTACAGCATTATTTATAATAGTTAACACATGGAAACAACCTAAGTGTCCATCAACAAATGAATAAGGAAATGTATTATAGTATGTATGTATATATATATGAATACGTAATAAAATGGAATATTATTCAGCAATAACAAAAAATGAAATATTGACATTGGATCAACATTAATGAACACTGATGGCATTATGCTAACTGAAATAAGTCAGGCAGAGAAAGACAAATACCATACAATCTCATACCACACAATGTGGAATCTTAAAACAAAACAAAAAAACAAGCTCTTGCTACAGGAGAACAGAATGGTGTGGTGGCGGGAGTGGGCAAAATTGGTGAAGGAGGTCAAAACATACAATTTTCCAGTTATAAAATAAGTAAATCATGTAATGCACAGCATGGTGACCACAACTGACCCTTGAACAATACGAAGGTTAGAGGTGCCGACCTCCCATGCAGTTGAAAATCCACATATAACTGTCGTTGGCCCTCCACATTCGTGGATTTCCAACCACACAGTTGACCCTTAACAACAGGGGTTTAAACTGCGAGAGTCAATTGAACTGCACGGGTCAACTGAAAACAATCCACATATAAGTGGACCCATGGAATTAAATCCTGTGGTGTTCAAAGGTCAACTTTATTAATAGTACTGTACTGCATATTTGAAAGTTGCTAAGGGGGTAAATCTTAAAAGTTCTCATTACAAGAAAAGAAATTTTGTAATTCTGTATGGTGATAAATGTTGACTTATTGTGGGTGATCATTTTGTAATATATACAAATATTGAATCATTATGTTGTACACCTGAAACAAATGTTACATGTCAATTATACCTCAACTAAAACAAGTGAAAAGTTAAGAGATTTTCTGTAAGTTATTAAAAAAAAAAAAAAAGATTTTCCAGACAGGTGGAGGCCTAAAAGGATTCATAGTAAGCACAGCGAACTATGATAATGATAACCAACATGGGTATTACCTTATTACCTATGTCAAAATTTTAAATGAGCACATGAAAAGATGCTCAACATCACTAGTCACTAGGGAAATGCAAATCAAAACCACAATGAGAAACTACCATACAACCACAAGAACTGTAACTGTGAACATGGATGTAGAATAACTGGAACCCTCATACATTGCAGTGGGAATATAAAATGGTACAGCTGCTTTGGGAAAAGGTTTGGTAGTTCCTCGAAATGCTAAACACACAGTTACTATGTGACTTACCAATGCTACTCTTCTCTCCCAAGAGAGCTGAAAATATACTCGTATGTCTACATAATAACTTGTACATGAATGTTCATAGCAGCATACTCTTAAGAGCCAAAAAGCAGATAACCCAAACGCCTATCAACTGATGAAGGAATAAACAAAATATGGCATATCCATAAAATGAAATATTTAGCAATAAAAAGGAATGCAGTACTAATACATGATTCAACATGCATGAACCCTAAAACATTACGCTCAGTGAAGAATTCAGACACAAACCATGGTATGATTCCAATTATTTGAAATGTCTGGAATAAACAAATCTAGAGAGACAGAATGTATATTAGTGGCTGCCTAGGACTGGAGGGAAGGGAGGAAATAGAGAGTGACTGCTGATGGGTACAGGGTTTCTTTTTGGAGTGATAAAAATGTTCTAAAATTCATTGTGATGATGGTTGTACAACTCTGAATATAAAAATTTTACTGTATTCTTTAAAAAAACAACAACACTGAACTGTATCCTTTAAAAGGGTTAATTTTATGCCATGTGAATTATATCTCAGTATAAAGCTGTTACAGAGAAATTAAAAACCAAGGGATCCCTTTACTTTTTAATTCTTATTAAAAACCTTGAATTCCTTTCATTTTTAAACTTTAAATTAACTGATCCTAATTCCAATTGTGACTTTAAGAAAATTATAAACAAAATCACAATTTCTCAATAAATACCTGTTTGCACACCAGTATCCTTCTTAGGAGAATTCACAGACTTGATACATGTATTCATTTTAGCACTGATTTCATTCAAGTCATGTCTTGAATTTGAAGTATTGTTAGTAGATGCATTATAATCCACTTGTACTGTATCGACTGGCAAGAAAAATAAATTATGTAATAAAATGACAGTTCAGAAATATTAATAAAATTATGTGTAGCAGCAATTAAATACACACAAGACTTTAATTGGTCAGTATGAACACAAAAAAAAATTTAGAAGAGCTAGCCTAAGTTTCTTATAAAAAGTTACCTGCATTCTTATCCCTTACTGAATATAGAGAGTTCACTTAATAAGATTTCTCCATAAAAATGGGTACAGGTACAAAAGTATTAATTTTACATATTGTGAGCAAAACAACAAAATTTATGTGAAAAGATATTGAAAAGTAACATTAGCTGTACTCTTAAGGCAATTTCTCAAATAGAATATGTGTTATAAAATTACATTAGTTCAAGGTCTAAAAATTCCTTTAAAAATATCTAGTTAATAGACATGTTAAAGGTATTAAAAACAGTCAATTATTTAAAATCATACTAAAAAATATTATAAATAAAATTCTAGCTAAGTGCTTACCGCCAAGATTTTTAATTAATTTAGAAGTGTCATGTCCCTTTTGAGCCAATTCTCGGATTCTCTGTTCTTGTTTTAGTCTCTGTGCCAGCTCCTGTGCTCTCTGCATCGTCTGGAACAGTTCATTTGTCTTGAGAGTTATGATTTCCTATCAATATTGAAGTGCACAGAGTTATTAAATAAATTATCAAGCATGTACAGGCTTGCCTATTCTCTCTCAGTAGAAATTTTCTAAGTGCCTACTATGTCCCAGGCATTATTCAAGACACTGGGAGTAGAGCAGTTAACCGGACAAAGTTCTTTTTCTTTTGAAGCTTACATTTTAATATATTTTTCTACAGCTGTATTAGACTATACATACAAGAATTCTTACATTCGAGGGCCGGCCGAGTGGCGCGATGGTTAAGAACTGGCTTGGGACGCCAGAGGGCCCCGGTTCGGATCCCACATATGAGGGCCAGTGACACTGC